CACCAGTCTACACTCCCACCAACAGTGGAGGAGGGTTCCTTTTCACCTCCAGCCCCTCCAGCATTTGTTGGTTAATTGCTTTATGATAGCTTTTCTTTCTGGGGTGAGGTGCAATCTCAGTGTTGTTTTAACTTGCATTTCTCAAATGACTAATGATGTTGAACATTTTTTCATGTATTTATTTGTCATTAGTATTTTTTTTTTATCTGAGAAGTGTGTATTCATCTCAAATACCCATTTTTGATTTGGGTCTTTGAATTTTGGGGGCCTGATTTTTAAAATTCTTTATATATTCCAGATAGAAATGCTTTGCCTGAGGGACAGTTGATTAAATTTTTTTCCCAATTTTTGGGTTTTCTTTTTACTTTGCTGGTGATTTCTTTAGATGTGCAAAAACTTTTCAATAAGATGAGGTACCAGTTGTTTCTTTGAAGAATTTCCTGTGCATTTTGGTTTTTGTTCATGAACTCTCTGCCTACCCCATGTCTTCAAGATTTCTACCTACTTTTTCTTCCAGTAGATTTAATGTTTCTGTTGTAATATTTAGATCTTTAAGACACTTTGATTTTAGTTTGGTGCATGGTAATAGGCTTGGGTCTAGTTTCAGTCTTGGGCATGTGGAAAGCCAGTTTTTCCAGCACCCTTTATTAAAGAGGCTATCTTTCTTCCAGTGTACTTGTTTAGCCCCTTTGTCAAAGATAAGGTGGCTGAGTGTGTTTGTGGTTGTGGCTTCGTCTTCCAGTCCATTCCATTGATTCTTAGGTCTGTTTTTTTGCCAACACCATGCTATTTTATAACAGCATCTTTAAAGTATAATTTCAAGTCAGGGATTGTGATTCCACCTGCCTTGCCTTTGATACCCAAGATTGCTCTTGCTAAAAAACAGTCAACTTTTAAGCATTTGCATTGATTGGCTTTAAGCCCTAGTAAGACTGTTTTGGCCAGAGATGTGGTTGGCTTTTGCCTTCTTTCCCTTACACCAGACTTGATGTGGGAGTCAGTACAATATTTCACTGAATGCAAGCTTTGAACTCAAGTTGGGACAGAGAAAATAGAGATGGGAAAGAGATAGAAAGATAAATTGTTGAATAGGAATGAATTATTTTCAGCTTATGAAGCAGTCAGACTAGCACTTACACTCAGGTTTCTGCAAGGTTGAACAGAGAACAACAAAAACAGTTGTAGCTTTGTGGTTTGAACCTGAAAAGGCAGCAATAAATTGTTTTTCCTTTTAAAGGCAACAAAAATGAGATTTTCTATCTTTCCATTTTTTGGTTTATTCTTTATATTTCAATTCGTTTACTAATATAGCCCTCCTATTGTTTTCCCATTAATATTCTTTAATTCATATCTACCAACTGAAATTCATTAATATTCTTGAATACATTCATCCCTTAGTCTGTCCATTCATCCACTCATCCATCCAGTTCACCCCTTCATTTAAGAAACATTTCTATTTTAGCTACATGTAAAAATCCAAGGATGGGGGCTGGGGATTTAGCTCAGTGGCAAAAGCGCCTGGCTGGCAAGCGCAAGGTCGTGAGTTCGGTTCCCGGTACCAGAGAAAAACCAAAAAAAAAAAAAAAAAAAAAAAAAAAAAAAAAAAAAAAAAAAAAAAAAAAATCCAAGGATGGTACTACAAGGTGATAATATTAGCCAATGTATTTCAAATGGATGCAGAGGAACTAAGTGCAAATATGCTCAGTGCAGTCTCATAAAAGAACAGTATTCCATGAGCAACTTAGAATTTACTCACATGTAAATATAACACATTATTGATGAGATCCCTACAGTAATAAGTGCATGAAAAATAATAATTTCAATACAAATTAAGTAGTATTTTGCCAGTGCCTTGTCTAAAATATCTGGCCAACTTAGAATTGTATGAACCTGTTTTTTTTGTTATGGTATGTGTGGCATCAGATAATATGCATAACATTGAGATGTCTCAGTGAAAATGAGGTGATATAAAATAATTATATTCATTCACTGCATTAGAAATATAAAGAAATAATATATGAATAATGAGAGAGAGACAGAGAGAGAGACAGAGAAAGAGAGAGAACAGTACTGCATTCACAAGATCATATGTAATAGAAGCCCAAGACATTCAGCAAGTGTAAGCACAGACCCAGCAAATTGGATCACTTTAAATAAGAAATAACAGTTTCCATATAAAACAAATAAAGTTCATGAAAATGTGATGGATGAAAGATTTTTAAAATATTATCAACAAATAATAAAAAACTCTAGGGATAAATATGACAAAAATTATTGTATACCTATTATTTAGTTGTACACAAAGTGCACATACAAGATATAGATAATATAGCTATATAAATATGAGTCATGCCAGTAAAGGAAGATTAACCATGAAAATGCAAATATTTAACTCTATTGATAGACAACCTTCACTATAGTTCAGCATCTAGTTATCCCTTTAATTAATACACATTCAATTCATTATCATTTCATATTCAAGAATATTTATTATAGCATATGACAAGAAAATGTAGAAATGCAGTAACCACATGAAAGAAGACTTCTTCAAAAATACCCTCATGAACATTGAAGAGTAAGAAGAGAAATACCCAACTAGCTATCAAAATATACTATAATTATAATATTAAAGTCTTCATATTAAAAATTAGTAACATGATTAAGAAAGCCAAGGGAAAGACAGATGAAAGTGAGAAATTCAGATATTCTTCATTTGATGACCTACGTGTTGAGCATATGTTCAGTCTTTCAACCTAAGTGCCCTTCTTGGACTTATGACTCATCTTTTTTTGGTACACTTATATACATCTTGTATACAGAGCCTCGACTTCTTTTTGGATAGTAAACCTTGTGTATGCACTACTGTAGTTTTTGTTGATTGTATTGTATAGTACTGTACTGTAGTTTTATATTCTCATCTATGTTATATTACTACAGGTAAGAGCGATGGAAATACAAGCAAAGTAATCAAATTGCAGTTTCCTTTGGCCATTCCTTTGTTCTGAATATTGCAATACACATACTATATACCTTTTCTTGTAGAGTGACCAACACGTTTAATGACCTAGTCACAGGAGTGGAACTAGATTGTTAAATGAGGAATGCCTATATAATCAAATTTAATCACAAATAATAAGATCATTTGCAGATTTAATGGAGGAACAAAAAAATTCATATGAAAATTCAAATTCAAAGGTAGTTGCTTCAAATGTTCATGACGTTAAGACTTAGGAAAAGAATTGAGGGCTGGGGAAATAGCTCAGTGGCTCAAGCACCTGACTAGCAAGTGCAAGGTCATGAGTTCAATTCCTAGCACACAAAAAGAATAAACATCAAATAGAAAAAGAATTGAGAGTCATTTGTTCATTCAAATAAATTCCATGCTTCAATCTAATAACTGACAGTAAAAATTGTGAAGAATTCCCTCAGATATTCTATGCATTTAAAAAAGAAAGCATGTTTTAACTTAAGAAGGCTTTCCCCCTGAATGTGTTTTATTTCTGATTGTACCTAGAGAATTCCTATCTGGTCTTAACAAAATAATGTAACATTTAGGGACAAAGATGCAGCCCAGCAGCCCTGCACTGGAGGCCAAGATGGAGAAGACTTCCATGGCCACCATGACCTTCCCTTTGGTGCTGTGGTACACGGGGAGGAAGGTGACCCAGACACTGCAGAACACCAGCATGCTGAATGTCAGGAACTTGGCTTCATTGAATGTGTCAGGCAGGTTCCTGGCCAGGAAAGCCACGGTGAAGCTCACCAGGGCCAGGGAGCCCAGGTATCCCAGGACACAGTAGAAGGCAGTGAGGGAGCCTTTGTTGCAGAGGATGATGATGTGGCCATGTTCCGAGTGAGCATCTGTGTCAATGTAGGGTGGATTTGTCCCCATCCAGATTCCACAGAGAGTGAGTTGGATTAAGGAACAGGTGGGGATGATGGAGTTAGGTGCACCTGATACCAAGAGCTTCCTCATCCTTCTTCCTGGAGCAGTGACCTTAAAGGCCAGCACCACAGTAATAGTTTTGGCCAAAACAGTGGAAATGGCCACTGTAAACACCACTCCAAATGTGGTCTGCTGGAGGATGCAGGTGGCTGTGTTGGGACGGCCAATGAAGAGCAAGGGGCAGAGAAAACAGAAGATGAGGGAGATGAGCAGAACGTAACTGAGAGCCCGGTTGTTGGCTTTGACAATGGGAGTATCTTGGTGCTTTACAAATAGCTCAAGAACAGCAGCTGTGAGAATAGCAAGACTCACGGCTGTGCAAGTTAGAGCCTTCCCCAAGGAATCTTCATAGGCCAGAAAAGTGACGGATTTTTGGAGGCAGTTGTCTTTCTGAGGGTTGGCATACTGCTGATCTGGACACTTCATGCATTGTTCCATATCTAGCCAAAAAAAAAAAAAAATTGTCACTACTTTAAGTTCATTATTTCTTTCATAGTCACAGACCCAACCCCAGAAACTCATTTGATTGAACCAAATTATTTCAAATTTTCATTTTTCTTTCTCCCATTCTTTCGCTCTTCTTTCTTTTTTCTTTCCTTCCTTCCCTGTTCCCTTCCTTCCTTCCTTCCTCCTTTCTTCTCTCCCTCCCTCTTTTTCTTTCTTTCTTTCTTTCTTTCTTTCTTTCTTTCTTTCTTTCTTTCTTTCTTTCTCTCATCTGTCTGTCTTCTCTTCTTCATTTTTCTTTTCTTTTTTTCCAATACTGGGAAGTCAACTCATGAATTTTTCGCTGAGATCTATCCCCAGCTTTTATAAATTCTTTATTTTGAGGCAGGGTTTCCTTATTTCACTATATGGCTCAGGCTGGGCTCAGACTTAAAATCCTCTTGCCTCAGCCTCTCAGAGTGCAGGACTGCAAGCATGTGCTACCACACGTGAGTTTTTCTTTGATTCTAGACACACATAAAAGTATACTATCTAGAACATTACTCTTAAATAACACTGATTATTTCTTATTATATAGTGAACATTGATATTGTTTATTCTTGTCAATCTGACATATTCATAAAAGTATTTTTGTTTTCACAAAACAACAAAAGGACTACCTGTTCAAATCAAACCTCTTTAAAGCACGCTCTGGGCATTCAGTCAGTGAGCAATCAGGTATTGAGAAACCAACATAATTTGCTATGTTCTGGGGGGAAGTGTATGGAATAGTTAAGGTAGTGTAAATGCTCTGGCCTATAAAAGATTGTAGTTTTCATCACAAAACATAATGAAATTTTTGTTACAATTGAATTCAGTCAGTCAAATTGGAAAATACCAACCTTTCCATTATGGAGCTTTTCTATCCATGCATAGGCTTCATGGAACCATTTATTTAATATTTATTGTCCAAATTGCTTTTAAATAATTAAATAGTTACATAGCATTTTCAAGATTTTCACTACATATGTAATATTTTAAGATGCTTTAAATGCAAATTTTCAAAATTTCATATATTAGTGTTTCCTGGCTGAGTTGTAGAGTAGGTTTTTAATAGTAGGTTTGTATTCCATCACTCATAAATCCATTTATCAATTTATTATTTTACCTGGAATTTACAATTACAAACTAATATCATTGGAAAATCAAAACATTTGTATTTCCTTCTTTGAAATACAATTTTGCTTTTCTGTGGGTTTTTAAAATCTTATAGCACTGGCTAGGACCTCCAATGTAATAAGTGGTGATACAGGAAGTCCTTATGCCACTCTTGCTTTCAAAATTGAGCCATAAATTTTAAAGAATGCTATAGGACACCGTAAATATCATTTTTAGCATGTTGACACATTTCTCCTACTCTTAATTTTTAAGAATTCCTTTTATTGTTGTTTATTTGTAAATCATAGAAAGATGTTCCATATTAATTTTTTTTCATAAATTAATATTACTTTTCTTTCCCCAGAATTTAGTGCACTTAATTATATTTCACAAGCTGAATTTGGTCATGGTATACCCTCGCTGAAATATATATCTTGATTTGGAATTGAATATGTGCATTTAGTTCAACAATAGAAGTGTCTTGTAAACTTTGTTTCTTGTAAAGGCATCTTAATTTAATGAAAACACAGTATAGCTCCTCTCTTGAAACGAATTATTTTCCCAGTTTTAGCGTGTGAGCAAACAGTATTAATATGCTTTTGTATTTTATGATTTTCACACTGATATGCTTAATCAACATAATTTTGGGGAAAAATTTAAAACTACTGATTCCAAGTTACTAATAGATATGGTAGTATGAAGATATTTTTACTTTTACTTAGGACTATTTTGTCAACTTTTCCTTCAATTTTATAAACTTCATGTACAATGATAGGAAATTATTTGTACTATATTTTCATATGAAAATTATTCGCCCCACCGTGCAGGTGCCCCCCCCCCCACCCAGGCGGCCGTGCTGCTGGCGCCCGGAAAGGCAGACAGCAAGCGCCTGGGAAGGGGCGCAGAGATGCACGCTGGCCCTCGGGCCGGCCGACGCCGCGTGTTCGAGAACTGCAGGCCACAGAGAAGCACAGACCCAACAGGCCCGCCCGGAGACGCGCGTGAACCATCCCGATGTGGAGAAACCCCTGGGAAAACATGCCACACGGCGGGTCGCTCTTGGCCCTGCCCTTGAGAGCCAGAAAGGTCCGGAGTCAGCGGAGGAGCAGCTGATGAACAAGGACTCAGAGAACAGGAGAGCACTGACGCCCAACGACTCAGAGGTCAAGCTGACTGGGGACGTGAGAGCCATTCGGGAGCTGGAAACCAGGAAGACCTTGCACAGCACCCGGGGAGACACCCTAGGGGCCATTCTTCCCCTAACTGTGCAGGCTGCAGTGGAGGAGTGTGAGGAGCTCCGGAGAGGTCTGCACCGAGACTTCATGGATTGCACGGGTGCCCGATATTCAGACTCTGTAGAACCACCTTCGTGGAGAAGGAGGAGCCCTGCGAAATCCTGAGCATAGAGGAAACAGTGGACGGCCCATTGCTGGACACTGGTGCTGGTTTCTCGGTCCTTCTTTTCAGCCCTGGCCTTCCTTCCAGCCATCACACCACAGTGAGGGGAGTCACTGTTGAGGTAACCTGCTTTTTCGCAACCCTTGGGTTGTAACTACTTGTTGGATCTTTCTTGCACGTCTTTGTTTTCCTGAGAAACCACTTTGAGGACGCCAACATGTATCGCAGCAGCCACTGATGATTTCCTACCAATCTGTCCATAACTCTGCAATGTCTGTATTGCTCCCATGCTACTTCCTAAATGGATGTATGTTTGTTACTATGTGTTTTCAACAGCAGCCATTGAGAATAGTCAATGATTATCTGATTGATTACTCATGTATAGCTCTATATGTTTTCCCTAGAGACCACTTTGGAGAAACCGGGGTATAGTACAACCATTGATAATTTCCTGTCATTTCTGTTTGTAACTCACTATTACTTGTCTATTTATTTTCCTGAGAAACTATCTTGAAGATACCAATAGGTAAAATAACAACCATTGATTATGTCCTACCACTTTGTCTGTAATTCAGTGAATCCCCCTATTGCTATGTTGTCCTTCTTTTACTCTTTAAAATAAAATTAAAAAAAGAAAAATATTCCATATATCTATTTTAATAACCAGTTATTCAGTTATGGTATTGTGCTATATTATATTCTTTTGTAGTTTTTCTTTCTTTGTTATCAGATGTGTTAAATGTTGCCAGTTTTTTTGTCAGAATCAATGTTAGTTTTGTTTACTTTATGTGTCTTAATTTTAAAAAAATTCTGTCATATTGTTTTCTATCTTTCATTTTCTTTGCATTAAATTTACTCATTTTTCTAGTTTGTGATGAATATTTCAAATGTATGATTTCAGCTTTTCTTAATTTAGGAATTCCACATTAGTATATTAATATAAAATCAACTTTTTTTCTTAGTATAGGTTTAGCCTCAACTCACAATGGATTTGATAAGTACTATTTTCAATTATACATGATTTTTAATTTGTGTTTTAATACATTCTCTAAGCTATAGATTGTTGAGAATTGTATTTTCATATTGGTGGGTGCTTTGTTCTCTCTCTCTTTATATAAGACATTAAATAAAAGAGCCTTATCCCTACTCTATAAAGAACACATAGTCAAATTAATGGTATGATGCACTGCATAATCAGTCTTGATGTATCTCAGGGAATACTTGAAATCATACTAAGTATATTCTGAAATCAAAACATATATATAAGAGATGAAAACACCTTAGAAAGTATCTAGTAGAAGGTGGTTACAACATGTTATGATTTATCAGAAATTCACTTATTCCCAAAGTGGAATTTACATTGTGCAATGCTCTTCCATATTGGATTTCTGTAAATTTTCTACAATGTTTCTACTTTCATCCTCATCTTATATCTGTGTTAATGACATAGAATTGCCTTAAGTTTAGGTCACTTGAATGTTATACAAAGGGTGAATATGCCATTTTGACCACTTCTGTTTATCCTAACAAGAATTCATGCCACCACTTTTTGTTCTGATAATAATACCAATGTGTATGGCTTCTATACAAATGTCTGTGACACCCTCCCAAAGTGTAGATATTGTCACTTACAGTCTGTGTGAATATCATCCTTGTAGTACTGCAGCACAGACTATGACTCACGCCATAAGCTGTTTCCCTCACTTGTGTATGTATTCTGGGAGAACAGGGGTGAAATCTTAGAAACTGAGATTGTACTGTGCTAGAAACATATTGTACATCACAGACGTCCCTCTGTCTCCAGTCAAACACAGTTTCTCTTAGTGCCTGCTTTATGTGTTAGGCAGTAGAAAAATGAAGTATGCCTGACTTTTGTCTTGAATGTAAACTTAATGTAGTTTCAAAGAACATGAAGAATCAGCATTTATTAATTGTTCATGTTAAACTTCACGATGGAGGTGAAAACTGGAAATTGTGGGGTGATGGAAAGGGCTTTTTTGATAAAAATAAGTGTCTTTAATGGGATTACAAAAATGCATCAAAGTAGCCAGCTGTGGTGGCACATAACTGTTATCTCAGGTAATGACTAGGCTAAGACAGGACCTTCACAGTTTTGAGGTCAGCGTGGGAGCAAATCGGAGAGATTCTGTCTCAGAATAACAAAATAAAGATAGCTGCGTATGTAGGTCATTAGCAGAGCACCTTCTGGTTCAATACCCACCAATGCCAAAGAAAGATGAAGCACAAGAAAATAAAAGAAAAAGATTTAGAGTGTAGGTCAAAGTTCAAAGTGTTGCTAAAGGGGGCAGTAGTACTCAGTACTGCTCAGGGAAGGAAGAATTACATCAATGGTGTCCTCTAAAATCTTTTTCTACTTCTAGGGTGGGAGGTGTGAATGTAAAATAGAGTTGGAGAACTTGTGTACAAGTTCTGTTCTCACCTGTCTGATTGGCGATCTCATTTTCCGGGCAAGGGATGCAGTCAAAACAGCAGGCAGCTTTTCCCTCCCGAGAGGTCTTTCTAAACCCAGGATTGCAACTCTCACTGCAGACAGACCGTGGAGTCTAAGAAATAAAATGCTGGCAAGCTCATAGGCTTGCTCATTTAGAACTAGAGAAATGAATTTAATTTGCTTTCATGTATAATTAAAATATCACTCAATGCCATTTCTACTTAATGATATCAAATATGTAATTATTTACAAATATTATTAAATAAACATATTTCTCTCCCATTCATGAGAAAGCTGATAAGAAATTTTTTTCAAATTGGAATTTGACTTTTTCCAATTTGTATATGTAGCCTTTGCATGAACAAAATTAGGAGCAAAATATCTATCACAATATTTAGGTTATTTTTATTTAATGAAGTGCACCCTGATCAGGCCCAACGTACCTGTGTAATTCCTGTGGCCCACTCGATCATATCCTTAGATACAGACATGTTTTGCCCAAGTAAAATATGTGGGGAAAATGTTCCTAATTTGACTTTAAGTCTAAGGCCTTCTGGGAAATTCCAGAAATTGAGAATGTCATACTCTGAATCCAGTTTTCTTCTATTATCCAAGTTCACTTGGTCTCCAGCAGAATTGTTAAACTGGGTGTTTTTCAGAAAGGGGTGCAGCTAAAAGAGACACATCATCCTATAGTGAACATTACTCCATGATTAAGACATCAAACTTGAAAGTGGAAAGCCTATGATTGTCTCTAATTCCCGCCCTTTTTTATAAAGCAACTTTAACACTAGTATCCAATGAATTAGCACACATGAAAGTCTAAAGAGGACCAAAGTATCATAGTGTTCCTAATGTAGTCGGTTTCAGGAAAGAGTATCCCACTTAAGCCCATTTAAATAAAGTATATATTTACACTCGCAAAAAATCAACTGTGGAATCCAATCTTCCAACACCCATAACACTCATTTTCTGTTTGAGAATTTCTGCAGCATCTAGCAACACAATGAATTCACCACATTAAAGGTTTGCAGAATTAGATGAAAACGTCATATACTTTGTGCACTGTAGGGTTTACTACCATTTGGTTTCATAGGTGACTACAAGTTTTCCCCTTTGTCCTGCAAGAACTTTAATGGACAAGTTTAGGTGGACAAAGCACTGACATCCTACAGACAGAAGCAATGATCTTGCCTCTGAACTATTTCTTCTTCCTTGCCAGTAACTCCTTGATTGAAAATCATTTCTATCCAGCTTAAAACTCATCTCCTCAACAATAAGCCTAATACATAATGTCTTATATTTTGTGGAAATGATTCTACTCCCCTTGGGTGGAGCATATGTAGAATAATTTAAGAGAGGTACCTTGATGACAGTACATGTCATCCAAAGGAAGACATATTACCTGCCAGGGAGAAGACATCGTCACTTCTCTATTTCTCATTGGTGGCATTTGTACTTCTTCAAAGAGCATCTCATGGAGGGCATGGGCCACAGCATACACAGCGTTGTAAATACTGTAACTCTCATCACTCATGGCCATGTCAAACTTATTTGGAGGCAACCAAGCCAGAGAAGCATTAGGTGTACAGTTCTTCAGTGCACAGTCAGAATCCGAGAGTGAGCAACGAAAGTTCTTGGACCAATACATAACAAGGTAAGTGTCTTCTGGGTATTTGAACGGGGTAGCTTCCTGGACAAAATTTTGGAAACCTGAAATCTCCTCATGGTGGTGTGAAAAAACAAGAATTCCATGGAATGGGTCAAGTATGAAATTTCTCCCAGCCATGTCCGCGTGCCATTGTGAGTTTGTGACCCAGACTTTCCATGTCACTAAGTGCTGCCCTATGTTATAATTGACATCATTTAGAATATCAATATCATAGTAAATAATAACCACATTTACTGATGCTGTTTCTCTGGTCAAGATATCATGCGTCTTGGTAGCTGAGAGATAGGACACAACAGTAGTTGAGACCATTTTCACAAATGCTGCACAAACTTTGTTCCTGTCCATCTCTTCTCTTATATCTGAGAGAAACTGAAGACCCTTATGGCCTTCTGTGATGAGCAGGCCCACCCATGTCCAGCTGAAATGAAGCATTAAGGACACCATACCAAGGGCCAAAGATGCATCCTTTGGGGCCACCTGATAGAGAGAAGGGTACTGGCCACTGTCAGTCAGCATAGTATCAAAAGCACCAAAGGTAACCTAAAAGGAAAGGAAATTTAGAAGAATATACGGAAGAATGTTGGTGTAAAGCACAATGGTAGGCCTGATGCATACTGAGTCACAGTCGGAAGCTGTAGAAGGAGGTGGATGTTCTCACCATCTTCTTAGTCATCTCACTCCTTAAGAACTTTCATAAAATGTAAGAGTGGACTCAAATATCCAGTCTGCTTTTTGCTCTCCTTTTTTGACGCAGAAAAAGTAATCACGCATAAAACACTAAGTCTTGTGTACTTACTCTTGTTACACACTTTGAAAGATACCTAAGCCAAGTCTCATTTTAGAATCCTTTGAGGTTCTTGTTAGTTGAAGCAACATGGACATGGCTTTCTCTTTTCATGTCCCACCAAACCTCACCTGTGGAAATTTGTAGAGTTCCAACAGTGGTCCAATCTGAGTGGAAGTTCCCCATAAAGTTTCTGATAGTACTGCTACAGATTGACTTTCTGTCCCACACATGTAATTAGGGATCTCATGTTGTCCTGTGAGCAAAATGAAGGAATTTTCTAATATCCTCCAATGGCTATGAATTAAATTATGGAACTCATAACCCAGAGATATGTTGGGTAAAAGATGAAGATTCTTGTTGATCTCTTCTATGGCAAAAATGAAGGCTAGATAGTTCTGGTTGTTGTTGGGCATAAGCCTGCATAGAGAACACGGAAGTCCTTAGGGAAAAGACTCAGTCAGTGTTTATCTTCCAATCCAGTACAGTATCAATCATGCACTGAATGCCTGTGTTCTTCCCTACGTTCACATAATGAGAATTTAAGCTCAATGTGATGATATTAGAAGTGTGATTTTTTAAGGAAGTAATTTTTTAAGGAAGTAATTAGACCCAAGTAATTGTATGGGTCACGGTGGTGAGTTTCTCATGAAGGAAATTACTGGCCTTACAGATTTCAGGAGGAGGTGTTTCATCATTTTGCTATGTAAAGGCACATTTGTAAGATAAATTGATAAAGCAGGAAGCAGATTCTCTCTTGATTTTCTCAGCCTATGCAACTCTTAAAGGTAAATGATTATTGATTTAGACAGTCAGTTGCTGGTACAATTTTTTGCAGCAGCCTGACTGTGATAATATCATAACTAAAGAAAAACAACCTGAAAATTTTATTTTTGAGAAGAACTGCCTCCCATAAAATCTTAGAATTTATTTGAAGCAAGTACATAAACTTTGGCTTTAGAACAACCTTTCAAACTTCTACATATGTGGAGAACATTATCTTAAATCATTGTAATACATAAAATCACAACTGATATTTCTTTGTAATAATTTGAACCTCTGCACCATTATGAATAGGTAATACATTTTTATTATATTTCTCAAAATTTTTAATTGAATTTATCTGATATCAAAACATCTATTAGATTTTTTCTGATTGAAGTTTGAATAGTAATATCTTCATACTTGCCTTCATATTATGTCTTTTCATTTTTCCACATTTGTTTGTGTTTATATCTGTCCTTTTTATTTCTTTTTTTGTCTTTTTTTGAGACAGGGTCTCTCTATGTAGTTCAGGCTCGCCTTGAGCTCACTTTGTAGCCCAGGCTGGTCTCAAATTTGCAATGACCCTCCTGCCTCAGCCTCCTGAGTGCTGGGATTACAGGCGTGTGCCACCACACCTGGCTTATACCTGTCTTTTAAAGTAGGTAATAAGGACATTTTTGACTTCTCCATCAAATTTGACATCTTAAAGAATGTATTCTATTTATAATTTATTATTTATCTGTTCATACTATTTATATTTTGATGTCCACTTTCAAATAACTTCTAAATTATTTTCTAGCTATTTTAATTTATTTGTGCCTTTAAAAAATTTGACTGTATTTCCTCTACTTGGGTGAGTTACATTTTCTAATTGGCTACAGGGACATTCCTACAAAGGTAGATGCTAATTCTCTCTCTGGCCACACCTCACATTTACTGAATATGAAAATTCATTGGGGGTCCCAGCAGCTCCAGTGTTTCAACTAGAACCCCTAGTTCTTTATATTTTCTAGATATTAGTCCTTCATCTGGAGAACAACTGACTAAGAATTTTTTCCACTCTATGGATTTTCTTTTCACTGTGCTGGTGATTTGTTTTGCTGTGCAAAAGCTTTTTAATATAATGAGGTCCTAGTTCCTGATTCTTTGTAGACCCAATCCAAAAATGGCCATTTGAAATGAATAGATATGTCTCAGAAGAAGTAAAAATGATAAATAAATACATAAAGAAATTCAACATCACTGGTAACTTGAGAGATGCAAGTTAAAACAATGTTGAGATGCCATGTCATTCCACAAAGAATGGGAATTATCATCAACTAGTAACAAATGCTGATGGGGTTGTGAGGAAAAAGTATACTTCTACACTGTTGGTGGGGAAGTAGACTGGTGCAAGCACTGTGGAAGGAAATGTGAAGATTCCTCAAAAAACTAGGACTAGAGGTTCCATTTGATCTACCTATTCCCCTTCTTGGCATCTTCCACAAAGAATTAAAAGCATCATACCACAGTGATGCATGTGCACCCATGTTTACAGCAGCACAGTTTAGAATAGCTAAATCTTGGAAACAACTCAAATGCCCATAAACCAACAAATGCATAAAAAAGATGTGGGTTTTTTTATATAGTGGAGTGGTACTCAGCCATAAAGAAGGATAAATCTGAGACATTTACAGCTAAATGGAAGGACCTTGAGACCATAGGTTTAAGTGAAATAAATCAGACACATGTGTAAATATCACATTCTCTCTCTGGTGTAAGAAACTGAAAGCCTAAATGAGAACCAAAATGTACAATAGATAGTGTGAAATAGGAAATAACTTTTCAAAGGGAAAGAGGAATTGGGTGGAGAATTAAAGAGAAAAGAAAAAATTGAAAAAAAAAGGGATAAAATGAAAACAAAGTTTTGTAAATAAGGAGGGGAAGAGTAGTTGAAGAAAGGGAGAGGAATGGAAAAAAAGAAGAACTAAGACATACCACATACTGGCACAAGTTCTCTGTGATGGATGCTATCATTATGCATATGGAAATTGTACCAACAAACTTAATTATAAAAAACCTGCTTCAACAATAGACCCCTAGGAGGTTCCTATCCACAGTAAAGTTAAAAACTTTAGTGTAATGTTTTTCAAAAAAATGGAAATAAAAAGTGAAACAGTTGTCTAAAATCCATGATAATGTGTCCTTCAAAATGTGCTAAATGAGGGTTGGGGATTTAGCTCAGTGGCACAGCACCTGCCTGGCAAACGCAAGGTCATGAGTTTGATTCTTGGTACAGGAAAAAAACCAAAATGTGCTAAATAGGGGCCAGCCCCCTGCAGCACAGATTCCTGGGAGGAGGACCCCCAGTGCCTGGGAAGCGGCATGGCGGCATGGGCAGGTGTGGGCCAGCCCTCAGGCCAGCCACTGCCACACAATTGAGAACTATCATGGCACAGAGAAGCAATGACACAATTGGCCCACCATGCACCAGCTGCGCAGGCATGCCCGTGGATGTGTGTGAAGCATTCCAACATGGAGAAACCCCTGGGAACACATGCCACACAATGGGTCTCTCTTGCCCCTGCCATTGGGAACCAGAAAGGTCTGGAGTCAGCGGAGGAGCAGCTGCTGAACAAGGACTCGGAGAACATGAGAATACAGACTAAGTCCAAAGAGTCAGAAGTCTAGTGGACAGGGCTCAAGAGCCATTTGGAAGGTGGAAACCAGGAGGACCTTGTGCAATAGCTGGGGAGACCCCCTGGAAGTCATTCTTCCCCTGACAGTACAGGCTGCAGCGGAGGAGTATGTGGAGCTCCGGAGAGGTCTGCAGTGAGATTCCTGCTGCCTGTGCTGATGGTTGGGGAGAGGACACTAACTGGTTGTGGGATCCCAATGAAATGGGAGGCTGGAGACGAAAAGTTACAAAAAATGGCTTTCACCCCAGATGGCTCACTTGAGGTGTTAGTAAGAATTGCCTCCTCATTATTCTATAGC